CCCACTCCTGCCCCTCCCCCCACTCCCCGTCGTACCGCTCCCCTGCAGGGGGCCGAGCCAGGCGGGAGCAGCAGGTTGAGGTGGGGGCGACGGGCAACCGAGGAGCAGGCAGCGGTCAGGGGCAGCACGAGGCAAGAGTGCTGGAAGCTCCAACTGCTGCCTAGCTGCCCCTCCACCCACCACCACATGTAACCCTCAACCCTCGATTTCCACGAGTGCCCCAGAGGCCGCCCGCCTCCCTCCCTACTGCCTGCCCGCCTGCCCGCCGCACCTGTGATCCACTTGAGGGTGCCCTGGCCGTGCATCTTGCCGCCGCGCCACTCGCCGTCGTACTGGTTGCCGTTGTGCCACACATACCTGCGGCGGGCAGCAGGAAGGCAGGGCCTTGGGCAGCAGCATGAAAACCCCACGGCAGCATCAAAGCACTTGCGGGACTGGTGCACGGCGATACGCCAGACGCCTGCAAGCCGGCTATACCAGCCTGCCTGCTGTACCAGCCTGCCTGCACTGCCTCCGCCGCACCCTGCACCCCACCTGCCGGGCCCCTCGGCCTTGCCGTTGCGCCACAGGCCCTCGTATGCGTCGCCGTTGGCATACACCTTCTTGCCGATGCCGTGCTTCAGGTTGCCCTGCCAGTTGCCCGCGTAGCGCGCGCCATCCGGCGACTCGAAAGTGCCGTAGCCCTGCCGCGTAGCAGGGGAGGCAACCAGCCAGGGCAGAGGGTGAGAGGGGCCAGCCAAGAGGCGGCGGGCACAGCAGGAGGTGAACGCAACCGCTGCCGCTCCGCTCATCCGCCCTCCTGCCATCAGCCCGCTCCTGCTCCGCGTCCTTCCTCTCCTGCTGCCTCCTCCGCTTCCATCCGCTCACCGACCAACCAGCCCGCCCTGGCAGCACCCACCTGCATGAAGCCGTCCCGCCACTCGCCCTGGTAGCAGGCGCCGTTGGGCCAGCGGTACTTGCCCCAGCCGTGCTTGAGGCCCGCATGCCACGCGCCCTCATACGTGCTGCCATCCGCCCAAGTGTAGCAGCCCTCGCCCTCAGGCTGCAGCAGGCGGCCAGGGGAGGGCTGCGGTTGGGTGGCCAGTGGCATAGGCAGCCGGCGGCAAGCTGCAAGCAGGGGCAATGTGCGAGAGGCAGCGGCTGGCGGGCAGCGGGGCGGGTGGGTGGGTGCGGCGCGGCAGCAGCGGCGCGCCTTGCTGTCCTTCCATCCTCCTCGGTAGCTCTCCTCGTTGGGAAAGCGCAGGTCTCTGTACTCTATGCCGTCGAGCTTCAGCACGGAAAGGTTGTTGTTCCGCCAGCCAAGCTCCCCCTTGAGGATGCTGTTCAGGGTGGACATTGCTGCGGCCCCCCGGCCCCCTCTGGCCAACAGGCGGCGCCCCCAGAGCTCGCGTCACTCCTTCGTTACCGGGCGGCGGATCGACTCATGGCAGGAACAGTGAACAGGCCGAGCAGGCTACAAGGCAATGCAAGTGAATGCACGCTCTGCCCGATCGCTCTGCACATGGTCAAGAAACTGCAGGGCCGGTCCGAGCTGGCAGCCAGGTCCCGTGTCCCAGCAGAGCACAGAGCCCTTGGTCGGCCTAATGCAATGCACCTACGGAGGCTTGTCGCCGCACCTGAATAGCGGCACAGTGGTTTCGTCACACGACCGCACTGCCCGCGTTGCCGTCCGCTGCAGTGCTCAGAATGTCGTGAACACTTGGCAGCGCGCTAAGACCCAGTATGCAGCAGCAACGGGGGCCGCCCCGACAGGGAGGGTATTTTTCGGGCGTGGCGGCCTCCCTGCTCCCCCTGCAACCTTATCTTGTGCTCCTGGCGGTAGTGCTGGCTTTTGGGACGCTGCTGGCAGCCGCCTGGGTGCGGCGCAGGCGGCGGGCCGCCGCCTCCTGGCGCCCCCTCTGCGGCGCCGCCGGCGGCACAAAGCCGGAGCAGGCGCCACCAGCCGATGCCATCGGCAGCAGCAGCAGCAGCAGCAGCCTGTCCACAGCAGCAGCAGCAGGGAATCCAGGCGCCGACCTGCCGCCGGGCGCGCACCCTGCCACCCCCGACCCGCTGCCCGCCCCGCTGGCGGCGCATGCGGCGGCGCAGGCCGCTGCCGCGGCGCCGCAGCAGGCGCAGCCGCGCAGGCTGGTGCGTGCGGCGCTGCCAGACGGGGAGCACCACGTGCGGTACAGCGATGGCAGCGCCTACTACGGAGAGTGGCGGGGCGGCCGCATGCAGGGCCGAGGCGTCTTCCTCTGGCCTAGCGGTGAGTGTGATGCCTCAGTGCGTGAGGCGCGCCTAGCCTTGGCAGAGGAGGCTAGCAGCAGCGGGAGCTTCAGGGGGGCGAGGCTGGGCTGCGCAGCCGGCGAGCAGCCGGGACGTGCTGGCCCCGTCTGGGAAGCCCTTCATCCCAGCCTCTCGCCTGGCTGCTGCCGCACCGCAGGCGACCGGTATGAGGGCGAGTGGCGGGACGGGTTAGAGAGCGGTACCGGCACCTTTGTCCTGGCCGACGGTAGCACCTACTACGGCAGCTGGCAGGGCGGACAGATGCACGGCAAGTGCGTGTACCGCCCCGCGGTGCAGGACGGCGCCGGGTGAGTGACACGACCTTGGCTGCCTGGCTGGCTGAGCTCGGCTAAATTGTCAGCATGCAGGCCAGCGGCATGCAGGCCGACTGCAGGCTGCGGCAGGCGATGCACCAGCCGCCATGGCGGTATCGTGGCAGCGTTGTGTGCGGGCCGTCGTGTGCCCGCCGCTTGTTTCACCTGCCCTGGTGCTGCTGCTGGCACTGCAGGGAGCAGGTGGTGTATTTCCAGCGGTACAACCAGGGTAGCCTTGTACAGGAGCAGGTGCATGCCCCTTGCTACCTGCTGTTGCATCCTGCTTGCTGCTGTTGCTACCTGCCTACTGCTGCCGTTGCTGCTGCCTGCCGCGCGGCGGTCCTGCTATAAGCTGCGGTGCTGCCCAGCCTGCTGCTGCAGGTGCTGCGTGTGGCGGAGAAGGATGTGCGCAAGAAGCAGCAGAAGAAGGAGGGCAAGAAGAAGGGTGAGCGGCGGCAGGCGGTGTGGCGCAGCAGGGAGTGGCGTGCGGCTGGGAGCAGGCATGGCCGCTGGGCTGACCACAGCGCGGCTCTCCGGCGCAGCTGCACCCCACCTGCCGGCCTGCTGAGCGCTGCTGCACATCGTTGCCCCGGGTGCACTGCAGCCAAGCAGGAGGCCAAGCAGCTGAAGATCCAACTGCAGTACCGGCCGCCCAAGCCCGGGGAAGCTGTGTACAAGGGGCATCACAGGTACCGCACTGAATGTAGCTTTGCAGGCAGCCGCGCTCTGTGGGGGTGTGTGACCTTGCATTTTCATCTGACCAACCGGCAGCCAGCCAGGTTCTGGGACTTAATTCCCCTGTTGCAATTGCCTCACGCCTCCTACTCATGAGCTATACCGCCTACCTGCCGCCCCCGGTACCGCAGCTACGACCTGATGCGGGAGCTGCAGCTGGGCCTCACCTTCAGCATAGCCCAGGCCGGCCTGGTGCGCTGCGCCCGCTGCCCGCCTGCACCTTGCTGTGCCCGCCCGTAGTGGCGTTGCAGGTGCTTGCTATCTTCTTCGTATCGCGAATTCCCGAGGACGCTCAGAATTCCCAGAATTATTGGAATTCTTCTAATTGCATGTTTTTCATGTCGTGGCTGGGGTTGCAGGCGGCAGAGTCTCGGGAGCTGCAGGAGGCCGACTTCTTCGAGGAGACCACGCAGCACTTCCCACCAGGCGCGCCCAGCCAGCCGCCCGCCGCCGGCGGCCGCGGCCGCCGGCTTCAGCTTGCGTGGCATCGGGCCGTGCCAACGCTTTGGCCATTGGTTGAATGAATTATCTTCTTGCTCGCCGCTGCCCAGCCGGCTCCCGGCGCTGCATTGCCGTGCCCAGATTGCTCCCTGACCGGTATTGCGGTCCTCTCCCTTCTGAACCCACACCCCTGGCTGCAGGCGCCGAGACGGGGTCCTACAAGTGGAAGGATTATGCGCCCAAGGTCTTCCAGCGCCTGCGCCAGGCCTTTGGCATCGACAACATGTGAGGGAGGGCCGGGCTGTGGGCTGGGCTGGGCTGGGCTGTGGGCTGGCCTCCCCTCCCCTGCTCGCTAACCCCCGGCTGCGCTGCGGCTGACCCAGCACCACAACCAGCTAGCGAGGAGGCGCTGCTGGCGCTGTTCCGGCTCCCGACCCCGCCGCTGCGAGCCGACTGGCAGCCAGCACCCCACCCTCCCATGCACCTTCTCACGCCCTGTGGACCATACCCTGCCCTGCCGCAGCGACTACCTTCTGTCGTTGACGGGGGAGGCCGCGCTGCGCATGCTAGGCTCGCCGGGCAAGAGCGGCTCTGTATTCTTCCTCTCTGACGATGACAGGTAGGCCTTGGCGCAGGCCGTGCCATCTCCCCTCCCCGCCCCGCGCCGCCCCTCGGCCCTGCTGCGACGGCAGGCGCGGGCTCCCGCTGCGGCGGGGCTGCTGCCATTTCGGGGCTCCTGTGAGGTGTCCGCCCGTCTCCCAGCCACTTACCCCTCACCGACCCGTGCCACACACCCACGCACCTCCTGCACCCCTCCGCTGGCCCCTCCCCGCAGGTTCCTGGTGAAGACAGTGGGCAAGGAGGAGATGCGGCTGCTGCTGAAGCTGATCCCGCGGTACTACCGCCACTGCCAGCAGAACCCTGCCACCCTGCTGGTCCGCTTCTACGGCGTGCACCGCGTCACCCCGCTGCTGGGCCGCCGGGTGAGTGGCTGGGTTTGGGGGTGGCAGCAGGGGCGGGTGGTGGGCGATGTAAGTGGCGGGTGGCGGTGGCTGCCTGCCTCGCCCTGCCCCTCCTCCCCACCTCCCCACCCTCCATGCTCTGCTCCTCCCCGCGTTCTCCCCGCATCCACACATGCACACACACACGCATGCACACGCGCACGCGCACACACCTTCTGCCCTCCCCCTCCCACCCACAAACTTCTCCCGTCCGCGTTCCCGCCACCTTCCTGCCACCTTCCCGCCAGGTCCGCTTCATCGTCATGGGCAACGTGCTGCCCTCCGACCTGCGCCTGCACCGCAAGTACGACCTCAAGGGCTCCACCTACGGCCGCACCGCGGGGGAGGCCTGCCGCGCCGCCAACCCGCACTGCACGCTGAAGGACCTGGATGTCGACATGCAGGTGGGTGGGTGGGGCTGTGTGTGGGTGTGTGTGGGTGGGTGGAGAGCGTGGGCAGGTGCGG